GGGACGCGGGGAGCCGCCAAGCGCCGCTGCGGTCAGCACCCCGATGTCCCCCGCGAAGGCTTCGGGAAGACCGAGCCTGGACTTCCGGAGCACTTGACCCCGCAGGGAGGCGGCGCGACGCCGCGGGCTCTGGGGCTCTGGATGCCCCACGGGAGCCGCCCCGGGCCGGCGGCGCGCCGGGCCGGTTACGCACCGACCTCCCAGGAGAGACCCGGCCAGACGCGCCCGGGCCCCGTCTCTCCCCCTGGACCCAGCCCCTCGGCCCAGGGTGGCCCGGGAAAGCCGCAGGTCGTTGGCCCCGCGGCCCGCGCGGGCGCAGCCCCTCCACGTGCTCCCCGCCGGCCCTTTCTCCACCTCGACGCCAGGCGCGGGCAGCCCGGGCCAGGCTGGGTGAGGCGCCTGGTGCCCCTAAAGGCCTGCCTCGGCCCCTCGGTAACCAAAGTTTAGTGGAGTCCGGGTCGGACAACGCCCCCTTCCCATCCCAAGGCCGGGAGGGGACCAGCCCAGCCGCACACCCACGGTAGGGAGGCCAGGGGAAGGCCCTGCGGGGGCCTTCGAGGGTAAAGGAGACCTGACAGAGGGGGCCCTGAGGCCGTCGACTGCACCAGGCCCAGCGCGGGAGGCCTCCTCGCCCCAGGTGGGCAGACCCACCTCCTTGCTGGTAAACCTGTTCCTCCACGCCGCCAGTGCCAGCCAGACCCCAGCCACTACTGCGGGAACCCCTCTGCCCTGCTCCTCCCTGCGGCCGTCCTCTCCACTGCGGAGCGGAGCCTGGGTAGCTGCTCAGGGTCAGTGCCCGGGAGAGGAGGCGCCCAGAGGCAGCCGAGATGTTTATTTAACAGCCGACAGCCCGGGGGAGCAGTTTCCATAGAAGGAAGGGTTGGCTGGCGGGTGCAGTTCACACGCTCAGTACTCCGTGTGCCACATCCTCCCCCATCTCGGGGGACTGGGAGCCTCAGGGTCCTTGAAGTGCTACTCCTGCCAGTGTGCTCACGCCCTGGCCTTGCATTATGCCCCAGGGCCTCAGACCAGCAGTACCAACTACCCAGCCTGCACTAGGGGCAAGGGGAGGGGTAAAGCTGGGCAGCAGTGCCCTGGCCCTGCCTCCACCTTATGTCCACTGGTGCCTACAGCGTAGGCCTCTGTCCCTTGCCAGCACTGAGACCCACTCAGGTGTCGGACCCACAGGTGCAGAGGTGCAGGTCACTCCTCAGCCAGGTGGGGCATGGGGCACACAGAATGAGGAGAGCACAGGCCTCAGCTTTCAAATGCTCCCCCCAAACCCAGAGCTAGAGCAGCATGGGGCTGCTGAGACTCAGCCCCAGGCCCTGGGGGAGGGGCGGACTTACCGGGAAGGTGAGGGTCCCTGGCAGGCCTGTGGAGAAGCCTTTTCACCCACAAAGTAGGCTGGAGATTCCTGGCCTTCTTCCCCACAGACACTGGAGGTGTTAATGAGATGTGTGCAAGGCACCCCATGGAGTTCCAGAGACCCAGGGGGAAGTGGGGGAGGGTGGAAGCTAGGACCCCTAGATTTCTAAATAGAGGTGCTGTGCAGCAAGGCCCCATCAGCGGGAAATCAGACCCCTAGTGGGCCTCTGAGTCCTGTGTCCTGGGCTGGTGGCCCAGCTATGTGCCCAGGGAAGGGGCACATTGAGCAGACACCTCTAGGAATCATCAGAGGGTACTAATATGTTCTCACCCCAGGCAGGTTCAATTGGGTCAGTCACTGGGGGCTGCGGGAGGCGGGGAGGGGACAGTTGGGAGGCCTGGCAGCCTAATACCTTCAAGAGCAGAACACCTGTAAGTAATGCAAAAGTTTCCTGTGCCCAGGTACCATGTGCCACGGGGGTCTGGGAGCCAGGGGTGATGGTTCTCCCAGAGGGGAGCTTGGTAGTGATTTGGCTGTCCTGGCAGGAGGGCTGTATAAGGTCTTGTCTGCCATGCTGAGATGGGGTCCTTTGGGCCTGTCCCTGCTAGGTCCCAGCCTCCATGAACACACACTCTGGAAGGTTTGCTGACTGACCCGTGACCGAAAGAGGGTGAAGGAATGCGGAGTGGGAGTCACTGGGAGTGGACTCGAGTCAGTTCTTTGGCTGCCTGGCCTCCCTGGGAAGCTTCTGGTCATCTTGACCAGCCTGGGCTCACCCCTGCCCAGCTGTACGTATTGGGAGATGACTTGCTACCCCTGCGGCTGCTGCTCAGGAGGTCCAGGGAGGAGGAAGAGCATCTCAGAGGAGGCCCAGGCGCTGGCGGTGCGCTGCCCGGGCAAGTCCCTGCACAGGGCTCGGGGCCGGTGAGCCACAGGAGTGGGCACCGAGGCTGCAGCGCTGGCCTTCCACACAGGATTGGTACCGTCACTCCCGCAGTGACCTGCGGGATGGGCAGCACAGGACTGGTTGCAGGTGGCAGTCACCTGCCTGTCCTTTCCTGGTGGTCTTAGGCCCACCTGCCCAGGGGTCTCAGTGCTTAGAGCACAGCCCCTGACTGTGGATTCAGGAAAAACAGTGGGGAGTCCTGGCATGTGCTGAGAAGGAGAACCCCACTGGACTTTTCCAGGCTTTGGGGTCCCTCAACTGCTCACAGTACCTGTGGCGGGGTCCCCTAGGGGTCAATGGCTTTCCTCTTCCTGGAACCTGCAAGAGATGGCATTGGACCATGGGATTCGTGCGGGTTTGGGGGTGTGCTGAGAAGCTGGGTTGGGGGCTTCATGGGTGAGGAACAGGACAAGGTGGCTGGGGGAGGCAGGACTCTGAAGCCAGCACCCCTGGGCAGGGGCTGGGCACCAAGGAATCCCAGCCCATGCCCACCTCAGGGAGGGGACCCAGACTGAGTAGCATGGTGCCTGGCCTTGCCTGGGGCCGCCTCCACCTCGGCACCACTAGCCCCACAGGGCCTGAGCCACTGGGGCCCAAGGACCCCCGCGGAGCAGGAAGAGGGCAACTGCCACCCTGTCTGGCCAGCTTCCAGCAGCAACCCAGAACTTTCTCCAAAAAGAAAAGGCCCCAGGGGACGAAACTGTGAAGCCACGCCCCCCGGGCTTGGTACCAACTCAGCCTCCACCATCCTCCTGGCTGAGTCACTTGAAAAGCCAAGTCCTTCCTCACCCCTCCCCACTCACCCCTCCCCACTTCCTTCCTCCCTCCCTCCCGTGTTCCTTCCTTCCTTCCCTCTTCTTTCCTCCTCTCCTTTGGGGTGGGGGGGGTTAAAAATATCTGGAAAGCTACCTGCATAAAAGAGTCCCTTTTCACTTCTCCAGGGACTAGTATAGCTTCCAGAGGAAAGGCCTCTGCAGCACAGGAGAAGCCCTGAACCCCTGAACACATTGCAGGCCCCTGCGCAGGCCGGGCTGCGCCCTCCTTGCCCCCAGCCAGCTGCCTGTGGGAACCCCCAGCCAGAGCCGCGTTTCTCACGGGCTGAGTTTCCTGGAATTTGCTCTAGACACATTCAGACATGTTTAGCGCTTCCGTCCCCCACACTTCCCCCACACAGCCCCCCTTTAAAAAGAAAACTGGCCTGGAAATTGGGGTTTCAGTTACAGGGAGCACAGGGAGTTATGTTGGTGGAGTAACTCGAGCGCAAACATCAGCAGGTACCACACATCTGTGAGCTATTTCTAGGTCTCGGGGGGGCTGAGTGGGGGAGGGAACCCCCCCCAACAACCCCTAAGTAAGACCAGCATTCTTCTATATTTTTTTTTGCCTTGACAGCTAAGGAAAAAATTTGCCAAAAACCAGAGGCTCTGCTGAGGGATGGCGTGGGAATGTTAGTCTAGTCAGCCTTGCTCTGGGCCATTTAAATAAAAACAGGCACTTCGGTGGCAAATGCCAGCCGCATGTAAGCGCACTTGGCACCCCTGGGATGGAACCAGGAGAGGTTTGCAATCTCTCTCCTCTTTCTCTTGGCCTCTCGGCTCCTTATCGCAATCAGCATCTCACTGGTAAACATTTTCCAAATCAGCAAAGCAAGTCCAGTCTTTAATGTGGTGGGGCAGGCGCTTTCCCAGTGGAAGGGCAGATTTCTCCGCACTGCCCAGCGCCCAGCCCCCAGGGCTGCTGCAGACACTTGAGGTCTTTGCACCCCATAAATCAAGGGCTATCCTTTGAGCTGGAGAGAGAGAGGGACAGCCGCCGCCGCTTCCTCCTCCTCCTCCTCTTCTTCCTCCTCCTCCTTCTCCTCCTCCAGATGTGGGAGCCAGCAGGCTCCTCCGTAGCACGTTCCCAGGAGAAGGAGCATCTGGTCAGCCAGGAGACATGGAACCCTCTGAAGCCAGGACACCAGGCAGCCTGGTGGATGCGGCTGGGATTCAGGGCTTGCCCCGGCTAGGCAGTGCAGAGCGCCCACGGTGCCAGGCTGGGTGCTGAGCCGAGTGAGTGGCTTCGGTCACCTCCTTGAGGAAATACAGGGGCTCTGGGAGCCCCATGGAATTTATTGGATTTTCCACTGTTGAGTTCTCACCCATCAAAGAAATGCTAGTTCCCACTAACTGAGGCTGGGGGCAGCGGGGCGCTGTGCTGGTCTCTGCTGGTGAAGGAAAGAGTCCAGGGCTTCCTCTCTGCCACCCCCGCCTTGGTGATGTTGGCAAGTGCTGAGTCCCTTGGGCCCAGGTGAGGTGTGAGACTGGCTGAGCAGCGTGCTCCGGCTCCAGGGACTGTCTCAAAGCTGGGCATCGTCAGTGCGGTGGCCACGATGTCTATCCCTAACTCACAACAGTGGATCTTTGAGTTCCTTCCAAAAATCAGTGAAGCAAAGCAGATGTCCTCTGGGCTGAAACCCCTGAACTGCACCCCGGAGAGCTTGGGAGCCTTTGTAACTGGAGGGAGAGGCCTGGGAGAGGCCTGTTGGGGCCCTGTCCCTCCATCGACCCAGGCTGCTAATGGAGACCACCAAGCCTGGGAACTCTGTACAAGTGGCCTGTCCATCCTTCAGTCTACTCGGCTGTCCATCCGTTGGTCGGTATACCTGGGCCCCTCACGTGGGATGCAGCTGACTTCCCAGGTCAGCGGCTGTAGGCCTGGCACCTGAGCTGAGACCACCAATCCCGACCTCTTCCCCGAGGGGGGCTGGTGAGGGGTCCTGCTGAGCAGTGCCTGAGGCCAGGCTACCATGCAGGAGTGCTAGGGGGTGTGCGTGCGTGCATGCGTGCGTGCGTGTGTGCGTACGCGTGCACGCGTCCTTGCATGGCTACTGTCTTAAGTCTTGAGACAATCCCAGTGGTCACAGAGGGCAGCAGTTTGGGCGAGGTGACCAGAATCTTCCTTGCACTATCTGTGGAGTGCCTTCTTGCCGACCTGGGTCTTACTGGGAAGCTGATGGAGGGGGACACGTTGTCCTGCAGGGAAAAGAATCTCACAGCTTTGCCTGAGGCTGGCTGGGCATGGGCCGGGGATGTAGGGAAGCCACACTGGACACCTGTCTCCACCACACCTGCACTTGGCTGAGCAGGCCGGTACTCAGGGGAAACAACTTAATGAGATGTCTCTGTGTCTGTAAATTACAATGTGTGCCACGGCTCCTGCAGCAGTAGGGTAGAGCGCTCCTGGGCCTGGCATTCTCCAAGCCCAAGAGAAGCTGAGGGAGTTACCTTCCATGCCCACGGGGCAGAGGCAGGCTCAAGGTGTCCCCACAGCACACTGAAGCCATAGAATATCAAACAAGGTCTTTGGCTTGCTGGTTTTGCCTGACTTTATCCAACCAGACCCACTGCCCAACCTTACCCAAGAAAGGAACAAGACAGCAGATACTTTGGTTGAGTTTTAAATCGAGCACCAAACTGGGCACTAATGGTTCACATCTGTAATCCTAGCTACTCAGAAGGCTAAGATCTGAGGACAGTGGTTTGAAGACCTTTATCACCAATTAACCAGCAAAAAATAAAGTGTGGTTCAAGTGGTAGAGTGCCTATCCTTGAGTGAAAAAGCCAGGTAAGTACACAAGGTCCTGAGCTCGAGTTCAAGCCCCAGTACCAGGGTGCATGTACACGCACGAAGTGGGCACTAAGAGCAAACTCAAATTCTCTGTGACTAAGGTAAGGAGAGGAGGCCGAGAGGAAGGGTGTAAGGAAGGGGTCAGGGAAGGGATGGACAGTGGCTATTCTGTGTCCTGTTCTGTGCCTGGGCTTCCCACCTGTGACATGGACCCATTTCTGCCACCTGTAAGGATCAAATGCACTAAGTGGGCACTCGGCGCATGGCCCTGGACTTGCTGTGGTCAGTGCTTGGGATGATGGGGTCCTCCTCCCCTGGTCTTCCATCCTAGAGGAAGCCCGAGCTGCCCAGCATGGGGCTGGGACCAGTGCAGAGCCTGTCTTCCAGGGCGGCCGCCATGTGGGCTATGTGGGACAAGGCCTTGGCCCAGAGCCTGTCATAACAAATGTGGTGTCCATCTCTTGCTCTCCAGGCCACCAAGGCTAGCCAGTGGCTGCACCACTGGCCACCTGGAGCCCCTTCCACTTGGCCTGCACAATCACGCCCCCTTCCTGCCCTGTGCCAACTTCTTCAACTGAGATCAGCGGGGCCGTGGTGGGTAAGGTGGCAGACTGCGGAGAGCGTTGGCTCCCCGGGAAGTGGCCAGCCCACCTTCTTCCACAGCCCTAATCCTGATCCAGCAGGTGTTTCCGTACCCAAGCACTGGGGGACCTTAGAGCCTCATGAGCAGGGGCAGAGGTGGGGGGTGGGAGGGAGAGCTCACAGCCGGGCTGCCGGTTCTGTTTTCTCTTGGAAGGAGGAAATTGCCTGTGTCACTGGGAGCAAATTTGCCCCACCCAGCACTGCCAGAGCCACACGCCCGGACCTAGGCATACCAGCAGGCTTGGGGCTGAACCTGGGTGGGCCCAGGGCACTGTGTTAGCTCAGTGGGCTGACTAGGTGGAGGGGGGCGGAGCACAAGCGAGTGTGGACAGTGGGCAGTGGTGATGAGCATTGCTGCTGGAGGCTGCATCAGGAGGAGGAGGATGGTGGTGCCCCTGAAGGGTAGGAGGAGCTGCCGGCCTCACCGGGAAGTGCTTTGATCCGGGGACTGCCTGGCACTGAGGTCCGCCACCAGCCGTCCATGGGGGCCGCTTGGACCCCTGACTCCAGCTTCCTGCCTTGCCCCAGGAAAGCAGGGCCTACCCTTCATGTCATCATGTTTGCCTTTGGGCAGGAAGTTTTCTCCCAGGATGCCAGGCCCAGCCAGGAAGGCTGGAGCTCCTGGACAGGAAGTAGGCAAGGGGGTCTGTGCCCTGCCTCTCTTGAAGAAGACCTGGGTTCTGGGCCTGTTCCGAGCTTTCTCCATATTCCTTCCCATGCCGCTCTTCCTGCAGGGTGGGCCAAAGGGTGGAGAGGCTGGGTGATCCACGCAGCAAGGCAGACATGTTGTAGTGTTTCTTGTTTGTTTTCTTTTTGCCTTTTTTGTCTCTGAAATGACAACGTTGACTGTCACACAGGTCAAGGGTCTGCGTAGGGATTAGATGTGCCTCACGACTGCACACGAGACACCAGCTGGGCTGTGTCTTCTCTACAGTTTGAAGTTGTCTTCTGGCTCTTCAGGTCTTCTACAGTTTGCTCTTCCTGTTTCGTGGAAGTCTTCTTTACAGAACCCGGGGCCGTCGGGGCCCTCTGCTTTGAGGCTGGGCCTCTAGCCAGTCCTCAAAGCAGGCCTGTGTCAGAACAGAGCTACCTGTAGCTCCCCAGTCCTGCTTCCAAACAGGACCAGGCTCTGAGCCGCCATAGTTAGGAGCCACACCATTCATGTCAGGGGCAGGGGCAGGGGCAGGGGCAGGGCCCTGGCAGGCAGCATCCAGGGATTTCTCTGCAGCTTCTCTAAGCTTAGGGGCAGCTTCCCAGAGTGGGATGGGGCTCACCCCCCATCCCACTGAGACGGCTCTTACCATGAGCCAGGACGCAAAGCCAGGCAGGACCAGAGCCAGCTGCACGGTGAGCCTGTCCTAGCCAGATCCACTGTCCCCGTGACCCAGGCCCAGGTGACAGGGGATCTGACGGCAGCCCCTGGTGTCCAGGCCCAGGCCTGCCTCTGGGGCACAGTAAACAGGAAGGTCCATGGGGCCATAGACTCTGGGAGAAAGGAAAGAGCCAGGTCAAAGGCGCCACAAAACGTTTCAAGTCAGCAGGAAATGGTGACTTTGTCCTGTGTCCGCCACCTTGCTGGCCTTCTGTCAGGCCAGTGGTTCTTCCCATGTGGGTTAGGCCCGGGCAGCAGGTGGGGCACGCTAGGCACCCTGGAGGGAGCGTGCTCAATACACGCTGGGGCCCTCTGAGGGCCAAGCACCCCTGCAGGAGCCTGGGGAAGGGGAGCCAAAGGCCAGCCGGGGGTTGGTGGTCAGTCCCTGCCCCTCTCGGTCTATCGTGGAGGAGGAAGCCGCTGGTACTTGGCAGTCCCTGGGGGCATCATGAACAATTCCCCCAAAGTCTGATCCTGCCCTGTGCACCTGGCAGCGTGCGATACTCGGGGTTAGGTTAGCCACAGGGAACGAGGCCCACAGAGCCGGGCAGAGAGGCTCACTCCTGCGTGCATGTCAGACAGAGCCTTCGCTCCGTGGGGTGGGGACCCCTGGCTCCTGCTGGGGCTGGACAGTCTCCTCCATCCCAGATGGATCCCAGATATTTCTGCGGATCTGCAGATGGAAGCTTGCGATCTGGTGATTCTACGTGGGACCCGGAAAGCCCACCGCTGGGAGACACCCTCATGTGTTATTTATAACCGGAGGCCTGGAACCGCTCCGAGTGTGCGAGTGTCTGGGCGCCAGCGAGCAGCCAGCATGGTCTGTCTGCGTGAGCGATGTCCAGTTGGGAGCGAAGTCGGCGGAAAGTCCTGGTGCCGTGGGAAAGGCTCCTGGACGGGAGGAGGAAAGCTCAGGGTCCCGGCTGAGGCTCAGCCGGCTGAGCATGGATTCCAGGGCGCATGGGAGGGAGGAGGGGGAGCAGCGAGGGTCCTGCTCTGCTCAGCTCCGGCTCCTCCCTGTGGTGGTCTGCGTGGAGAGCCCCTCACAGAACCCATGTGTGTCGTGGCCTTGGTCTGGGTCGCGGGATTCCAGGGCCAGCTGGAGTGGATGGGCAGCAGAGCAGAGGGCGGGTCTCCCCCCCCCCCGTGGGTCCCCCCCTCCCCCCCCCCCCCCCCCGCAGCCAGTGTCCCTCCTGGGGGCAGAGGCATCCCTGGGACCCGCCCTAGCCCCCAGCCCCAGGGTCAGCTTAGGGATGCATACAACCAGACCAGCGACGTGGCCAGTTCTTCTCTGAGGGACTGGCCAACAGCAGGAGCCCTGAGCCGCTCTGTTTACATGTCCCCAAGCCCCATCCCTCACTGTCCACACACTCACTCCTTCCCCACCCACCATGAGCAGCTGGGCCTAGGCAGGCGCACCAAAGGCGGCATGGCGGGTGACGGGGTGGGCACTAACCCTGCTCTTGTGGGGCAGGGAGGGACCCGGGCCTGAGCCCCTGAGGGCTGGTGAGCCCCAGGGACCACCCCAGCTCTCAGAGCTCCAGGCCTGGGGGTCAGCCACATGGAGAACTTCGCTCTCCCGTCCTAGCCAGGGTGGAGAGGGAGCCCTGCCCCAGGAGGCTGAGCTGGTGGGGGAGGAGGGTGGGTTGGTAAAGGGAGCCTGCATGGGAGGCCGGGTCAGGTCAGGGTTGGGGCTGTGGCTGGATGGGCGACGATGGCTGTCACCTGTCATGGTGGCCTGTCCTGGGCCAAGGGCAGGTGGCACTTTATCTTTCCTCCTGTGCTGTCACAGCTCTGCAGGGCTGCCTCATTTTTTGTTTGTTTGTTTGTTGTTTGGTCAGTCGTGGGGCCTGAACTCTGGACCTGGGCGCTGTCCCTCAGCTCTTCAGCTCCAGCGCTCTACCACTTGAGCCACAGTGCCACTTCCGGCTTTTTCTGCTTAGGTGGTGCTGAGGAATTGAACCCAGGGCCTCAGGCATGCAAGGCAAGCACTCTACCACTGAGCCACCTTCCCAGCCCTTTTTTTTTTTTTTGTCGGTCGTGGGGCTTGAACTCTGGGCCTGGGCACTGTCCCTCAGCTCTTCAGCTCAAAGCGAGCGCTCTACCACTTGAGCTACAGCGCCACTTCCGGTTTTCTGGTGGTTTATTGGAGATAGGAGTCTCATGGTCTCTCCTGCCCGGGCTGGCTTTGAACCGCGATCCTCAGATCTCAGCCTCCTGAGTAGCTAGGATTACAGGCGTGAGCCACCAGCGCCCGGCTCTTCCCAGCCCTTTTTAACCATCAGACGTCAAGTCACATGGCAGAGAAAGGCAAAGGCAGACTGGGACCAGACGGTGCCCGTCAGCACCTGGGTGCGCCTCAGGGGTTCTGAGGATGCCTTGGGGTTCCTGCAGCTTTGACTCCTTGGAGAGAGGGCCCGGACGCTCCTCTAGAACCAGCAAGGCCCTGCGACCATGTCGAGGGGAGGAGCCAAAGACAAGTCTGGTGATCGTCCCTCAAGACCTGTGCGTCCAGCCTCTTCTTGGTCAGAGGAGATGGGACAAGGGGCACTTCTCCCTCTAAGAGCCTGGGCCCACCTGAGCGTGGGATTCGAGCTCCAGGAGGGTCTGAAGGGTGTCACTGGGCCTTGAGCCTCGCTCTGCAAATAGCTTCTGTTCCTTCTGTTGAAGATGCCATTCCAGGCTGGTCCAGGAGCAGATGAAGGAGGCCGGGCCAGGAAGGGCTGCGCACTGCTGCAGGCCAACTGGGGTTTGTCATGCCCAGCACAAGGCACATCCTTCTCACCATTACTCATCTCGCAAACAATTATGAGGCTAAGTGGGGTGTTGTTCTTCCTCCCTGCTGGGCGGGGTGGGGCCAGGCCTGCTGGGCCGCCCCTTCCCTGAGGTAGAGCCACACCGGGGGCGGCACCAGGGCCCCTCTGCCTGGGAGGGGAGAGGTTGCCCTGCTTTTGAGGGTTTCCCTGTCTCCTGGAGGAAGAGCCCCGGGACTAGCGGGGACGCTCCACACTGACTTCAGTCAGGGCCAGATCCCTTCCCGGGCCTCTCACCCAAAAACTGGGTTGCGCTGGCTTCCTTTCAGGGCCGCCAACTGGACTGTCACACGGACAGGCAGAGGCCACAGCTTGAGCTGTCCCGTGGTGTGGAGAAGGGACACAGAAGGAACAGGAGAGGGGGGACAGAGAGAGGGAAGTAGGGAGCGGGGACGGAGGAGGGGACAGGGGACAGGGACATAGGGGGAAGGGCTGGAGGAGAGGGAGAGTGTCCTGTGGCCTCCAGGGAGCTGGGCCCAGCGCAGCCACGCGGTGCGAGGCACAGCCTTGCTCCTGTGAAGGCCCAGAACCAGAACCCATGGAGATCGACAGCGGCTGTGGGGACAGGCTGGCGGTGGCAGAGGTGCCCTGGAACCACAAAGTGCAAGACACTCAAAGGACCCTGAGATCCAAGAGGCAGGGGGCTCCTGGGGTGGGAGGGGCCGCCCCCTTGCTCCCGCCCCCCCCAGGGTTTAGTGAGCTGAGCCTTCAGAGGAGGTGGGGCTGGGGGAGGAGGAGGTGGGGCTGGGGGAGGAGGAGGTGGGGCTGGGGGAGGAGGAGGTGGGGCTGGGGGAGGAGGAGGTGGAGCTGGAGGAGGAGGAGGTGGGGCTGGGGAGCCCTCGCTCTCTAACCAGCTCTGAGGCAGACACCCTTTCCTCCATCTCCCCTTCTGAAAGCCCAATCTTCCATGTGGGGGAGGGGTGGGGTCCCACTCTGGAGATGGGGCCTGTGTTCCCTGAGGGCATCTCAGGAGGCGGGACCAGGCTCAACTCTCTCTGAGGACAGCCTCCTCCGCCCTCCTCCCACCCACATCCGGGGTGGCCAGTGGGTTCTGGCCGGCTGTGCACGGCTGAAAGGTTCTTGCTCCCTTCCTGTCCCTGCGGTCCCTACCCTAGGGCCAGGAGGCCCTTTGCTCTGCTACCACAC